ACCAAAATAAAAACACTATACAGAGTCCCACACTGAATGAAAAGCAAAGGGTATAACAAAGCATTTATTCTTTGCACATTTTGACTTACTACAACCACAACCATACAAATTATTGCTAATCAACTGCACATCCAAGAAGCAGAATCACTAAAAGGAAGGGGAAGAAGCAGATGCGCATTCATGATCATAGCTCACTGAATGTGGAATAACAATGCACCCACTACAGTGTAATTAATACAAACGTATATTTAAGTTATATACACTGACAGCGTAATGAATGTTTTACGCCATGTTACTTACTGTATATTCTAGGATAATGTTATTACATTGAGTTACCTGCAATTATTATTTAAACAACATGATGGTGCAAATATTTTAACCATCCGTGCATAAAACTTAAACTCAACTTTTAAAGATTATAGCTATAATAGATCCAAAAGTACTTAAATTTCACATTCTTAATTATGAAACTCTTCTTCCTTATGATCATTAAGGAGTTACCTTCTATATGACATTCTAAGATCATATATATATTCAATTTCCATTCACAAATGTATAAAGCCAGGAACGGGAAAAAGCTCAAATACCTTGAGGACCAATCTGATCTGCAGTTTCAGGCAAACTGAAAGAAACTGGAGGCGATAAAGATTGAGTCTTTTGAACAAAAGGGGTTTCTTGAACTTCAGAAATTACATCAGATCTTGAAAATAAAAGCCTAAAAGCAAGACCCAATAACAAAATCGAAAATCCCAACTTTAAAACAAAGTGATTTTGCTTGTAAAATGACCTCCACCATGATTTCCAAGAAAACAACATTTTCTTCAGCATTAAACACTGTTTTTGTGAGCTCTTCTATTTTCACTATGGGGACAAGATCTTTAATGAAAACCCATAAAGATGTAATCTTTAGCTCAAGATTTCAAAAGGGTATTGAACTTTAGTGCCAATAGATAGAGGATAATACAGTATTAAATGCAGAAGGAGCCGACAAAGGTGGAGTGTGTAGTAGATTGCAGAAGCACATGATGAAGAAATGTTAAACAATTGAGTTTTGGTTTGGAGTTTGGACAGAAACAGAAGATACAGAACCAGGGAATATTTTAATTCCCATTCTTTATAACTAAATAAGCAAAAAAATAACCATTTAATCTTTTTTTGGATTAAAGGATTCACATTATTTTAGTAAAAGTTCAATTCCAGTCTCCGTCATTAATGTAGAATATATTGTTAAATATTTAAAATGGAGATTCAGAATTTGAATTTTACGAGTTGGAGTTTTATCACATCATCAAATTTATTACTATTTGAAGATACTTATTGAATATTTTAAGCTGCGGGTTTAGATGAAGGTAGTTTGTACATACTCGTTCATTTTTATTTGTCTACTATTTACTTTGCATGCCCCTTAAAAATAATAAATGAAGTGCATAATTTATTATGATACCCATATTAATTGATACATATTTTTAATGGTTTTGAGAAAGATATTTGAAATGAGTAATTAATGTTATGGGTATAGCAGGGGAAAAAAATTATCTTCTTTTAATATGCTAAAAGTGACAAGTAAAAGTGAAAATCTATTTTTAGAATACTTGACAAGTAAAAGTGAACGGAGAGAATACTATATAAGATCTACCACTGTTTAAAATTAATAAATTTAAGTGTTCCTCTCAATTCACAATTAATATATCTGCACCCAATGAAGATGTGCCAATTGGGTGATTGGTTTTCCTCAATATAAAGACTTCATAATTCACTATATTATGATTTAGAAATATATATATATATATATATATATATATATTT